GCTAACTGTTTCTTCTAGCCGGAGCCGCTAGGACTGAAAAACAGACGCACCCGGCATTCTAAGATCCTTCCGTAACTTTATTGACCACACGATAGGCGAGTGGCTTCACCTCAACGACACGTGTCGAGCGGGGATCAGAATGATCCCAAATAGGCCTCAAAAGTTTCAACAATTAGAGGTGAAAACTCCACAGTCAGTTGTGGCCTCAAATTAAACCAAGACCATTCGCACCAACAACCTCGTGCAATCATGCGTCCCGGTGAAACTAAGCTCTGACAAAACCGCTCGCTCTTTCGTCCAAAAAACTGGTGAAAGTGGCATGACATTGAGTGAAAAGACAGGTTATCAGGGGGTGCGCCTCCTGTTTCTTGTAGATTTGCAACGGCGAAAATAACAACAACGCAAAATACTCAACTGATAGCTAAGAGGGAACCATGTTGTCGCCGAGGAGTGGCGAACGAAGCAAGATGCGAATCAAGACCGCCATCAACACCGCCATTAATTGCCAGAACCTATAAAGGCATATATATTTAAGGAATAAAGCAAACTAAATGCGCCTTAAAGTTCCGTGCACACGCACAAAAAGAATATGGAGACATTCTTTGTTAAAAAACCGAAAAACAACTTTCAAAAATCAAAACAAGTCGAGCACTCGGTTGGCCGACAGAGAGGAGAGTTGTACATTCAGGAGCTTGAGCGTCATCAACAGTAAATCACCTCAAACCTGGAGAGGGGGGGGGGGTTCCACCTTGTCTAAGGACGGAAACGCACCGGAATTGCGAGTGCGCGCGCGAGAGAGCAGGCAGCCTCATACAAGGGTGGAGAACTCGCGAGGAAAATAATTTGGCCGTGAGGAGGGAGGTGGGGGGATCGCGGGGTGAGGGCAGGTACGCCAGAATAAGTCAAGTTCGGAAGTGAAGAGACACATTTGTCAGGACATATCTCACACCATTTTGCAGAACAGGTGTTTACAAATGTGTATATGTATATTGCACAGCCTTGAAACCGGGACGAACAACTGGACTCTCAAGTTAGATGAGCAAGTGTGGCGGTGGGACAACCAGAGTTGGCCGAACGGCTTCAGAGAGTGGCGCAACCCGAGTGTCCACCAAGAGATTGCCCTGGCCATCCTTCACGCGGATTCGTCCGGATGCGTAGCAGGTCTCCTGGCGACCGTCTTTGAAAACAGTTTTTGCGGTCCCGTCGGGATAAATGCGACGCTTTATACAAGGATAGAAAGAAGGCGCATGAGGGGGAGGGAAATAGATTGAAATCGACATTTATATCTTGAAGTCGAATATGAGCTTTGGGAAAGGGAATTTTATTGTGCAAATTTATATACATATACCTATAGGCAGTATGTTATTACCGAAAAAGACAAGGGAGACTGGAATGGCCATTTCTGGCTCATTAGTCGTCTTCAGCCAGTCATACCCAACCCCGAAGTGTGGAACGCCCGAGGCTCGAACTCGCGACCTGTTAGTTAACAGGCCACGCCTCTAACCACTGGGTCACGAGCCCGTTGCCCTGTCGGTTTCGATTGGGAATATAAAATGGTAGAGGATGCTCACCGATCGTTCTTACGGAACTCGCTCGCACCGTTGTGCCTTACGGACTCTCTCTCTCGAGCGTGTTCGCTAAATACACACCTGCTGTAATCGACGGGAACCGCCTCAAATTTTGACAGATGGGGACGGAGGGCAATAGTGACTTGCATGAGTTTAATGATTATGAGGACGGTCCATACGTCGGTCTCTGTCCCCTCCAATTCTCATCGTGCCAGAGTGTTAGAACAGTCAGGGATAGGTGCACGCCGATCTATTGGCTACCCGAAAAAAACAAGCGCCGTAGGTGTGGAGAAGGCCACGTACAGACAAGCAACTGTCAGGCCGAAGTTGGCCAAGTTATAATAGCAGCGAGTCTAGTAGATGTACTTTAAGTACTCTATTGAACCAAAGTTCATCAAAAAATGACAGGTCGCGAGGCGTTGGTGAACTTTGGTTCCCCCCTTTCCGCTAATCGAAGCAGGCTGCACACGCAAATCCACTCTGCATGATGACGGCCTCAAGAAAAACATTGTCAATAAGAGAAATCGACTAATGCTCACTTGTTCATTCAAGTCGGATGTGGCGAATATGGAAAGATTAATACGGGTGGTTAGGAGAGGGTTCGAGAGAGGCGTGTTGGGGAAGTCGCAGGACACTGCATGCAGTTAGTAGGCTATATGGATATTGGCCATGCAGCGGACATTTGCTTTCGATTAATTTTTTATCAAGTCAGTACATCTACATGGTAACGGGGCCAATTAAATGATGTGGGTAATACCAGAAATCGAACAACGTTCTCTTGTATCAATCTAATAAGGTAGAACGCGCCTCTCCACGACTACTGTCCACAACCTGATATATGCTGACGAGTGCACGCTCAACAACACGGCAGAACCGGGCATGAAATGATGCATGAACTTTTTCTGCAGTCGGATGCGCCAAATTCGGCCTGAACATCAACACAGACAGAACGGAGTTCATGCATCAGCCGTCACTCGACACTGAAATATAACGGCCCTCTAATCACTCAACGTCACCCAACTGAAAACCATGGACAACCTCGTCTATTATAGGCAGCACACTCACGCAGCCTCAAAATCAACGGAGAAGTGGTCGCCCAAACCTCCAAAGTCAGTCACGCCTCTGGTCTGCTGCAGAACGTATTGTAGGACCGCTACGGTCTCCACCTCAACACCAAACTCCAGATGCACAAAGCTGTCATCGTGACGACGCTGTTGTATGGAGCGGAGACCTGGACAGCCTAGAAGAAACAGGCGCGGTAGCTCAATCACTTCCACATAAGTTGCCTTCGGAGAATCCTAAAGCCGAGGTGGCAGGTCAGGATTCCCGGCTGGGAAATCTCGGAACGAACAGGATTCCTCGGTATCCACGCTATGCTGAGACAACTGTAAATGTGATGGAGCGGCCAACTCGTGAGGGTGGACGCCGGGCGATTACCCAAACGAATATTCTACGATGATGTCGCTACGTGTACTCACCGACAAGGAGAAGCCCACTGCTACAAGAAGACCCCGAAGAAATTTCTGAAATTTGCAAATCAGACCAGAATTTTGGGGAGACCTCACCCAGGACCGACCGATCTGCAAAAGTGCAGTGAGGACAGCAATCGATGAAGTCAACCAGCTCGTCGCTGCTAAGGCTAAAAGAGCAACTGCAGGTCTCAGGCGTCAACACTCAGCCCCTTCCAGCATGTCCACGCTGCCAACGAACATTCCGCACGCAGATCGGCCCCATCGGACATCTCCGGACCTAGTGCAACAATTTACGATTCAACTCCCACCTCGCAGTGAGTCCTATGTTCGTGTAGAGAGGTCGATTTGCGGATTGAGAGCCAGACTGCAATGGCTCCTTCTTAATATGGCCGTAATTGCACTCCCACTCAGTTTGGATCCAGACCGACCCCCCCCTCCCTCCCCTTCTTGCTGTGTGAAATCCTGGTCCAGGGGATACGATGGCACGGCTAGGCACGGGTCAACGCCTCGCCAGTCACCTGCGCCCTCTTCCACCTTTGGTCTGCCTGACTCTGTCACGAAACTGGGCTCGTGTGGATGGGGAGAAAAGTGCGGTAGATGCGGCGCAAGTCTACAATCACTAAAACTAAGTTACGTGCACGCAATGGTCACTGCGCCCACCCTGCTGTTGAACACGGTAGGCATTGTCGGAATAGACGGTCGAATTGTCATTTGGCCCCTATCACCGGTATGAGTGAATGGATTCAGAATCACGTCCCTCTCCCCCCCCCCTGGTGGCGATTTGACCACCAAATCCTTTCACACTTGGCATATGATTAAGCTTTGGTAGGTCTCTGAACTCTGACGTGTAGCCGTGAGTGCTATAATTGGTCAATACAGTCCGACTCTGAGAGGCGGCCATTTCCTGACTCTATGCGAATTCCACACGACCTCGACTGTCATATAAGGTGGGAACGAACATCCACATTTCCAATCGTCTTGACTCTGTCCTGACATTGAGGTCGATGATAAGCAATAGAACTCCGATGGAGCAGTGACGATCCAAATCGACCTGGATGAACAAACTGTAATGAAATCTCAATAGCTCAACGTAGAGCAGTAACAATGAGAAGAATTTGTTCAGCGCTGGCATACTGAAGATGAAAGCTTCCGGAAATGTAGAAATGTATCACCAGCATGAACGTAGCCACAATTACGTTGTTTGAGCAAGAATAAACAGCTTTCTAGACATGTGTCAAACCTATCCTCGGAAACAGACCATTTCAGAATAAATGGAGGCCAAAAATCTCCCATTGAGGGATGGGATTGCGGATGGCGAGTCAAACACGCGTGTATGGGCTTTTAGCTAATACCTGTGTTGTTAGTACGGTAAATCATTGCACAATTCTATACTATTGGCTCAAATATTCATATCAAACTTCAGACCGTTCCTAAAAAGGTCCGTTTCGAAAGAGTTACTCCATGTTCGCGCATTAATTCCCTCGGAAATTAGACAAGGCAAGTTGAAACTGGAGTTCATATACCAGAAAACACACGGGGAAGGCTGTGGGACCCACTGATGAGCCGCAGCAGCATATCGGCGAAACACGCGTGTATGGGCTATTAGCTAATACCTGTGTTGTTAGTACGGTAAATCATTGCACAACGCTGAGATTTGCTTTTACCTTGAATTCAGCGCAGTGGACTTCCCGCTGACCATTTGGTAGTTCGATTATTCGATCGCCATTAGAGAAGAGACGCACAGTGATTCCGTTGCCCAGACAGTTTTCTTCAACCAGTACGGGTGCTAGGTTGGCGAGACAGCTACTGGGCCTTGAAATGCACGGGGAGCGGGCACGTGGGGTAGTAGGGGAGATTGGGCTCCGTCTGGGTTGGGGGTAAGTGATCTCCTTTCGGCCACTAAAAAAAGCAAAAAGAATGAACTCCTAGAGCACAAGTGAGAACGGACTGGCGCGTCACGAGCCGGTCAGTACCCACGTGTTAGCAAGATTGAAAATAAAAGCTAATCCCGTTTAGTATTTGCGGCGCGAGGCTTCGCTGACTCCTGTGTGGATTCTCAGGGCTTCAAAACCAGTAAGCGGATTACCCTGAAAGCAGATTTGATCGTTGGAACAAGAATTTTATACATCTTGTGCTTCCGATTCATCTGAGACAGCAAAAAGCAAGGGTAGCGGGTGAACATAGGATGCAATCGTCACTAGAATTAACAGCTTCCGCGTTTCATTGTAATTTTTGTAGCTTATGCGATAGTGATTCATTTGCCCGCACCTAAGTTGACAATCGTCAGCATTTTGTTGATCGGCGTGATAATAGCTTGACCACTAATTCGCCGGTGCTGGCACTGGAAGCGACGTTTATGCATGAGCTCTTTATGTGATCAACTACCTTGCCTAGGCAAAATTGCAACAACGAATGGAGGGGCGGGAGATCACAGAGCCTGTTGACGGGCAGAACCATTACTCAAGCAGCTGACGACTCCTTCCGTTGTCACTCCTCACTAGAAAGTAGGCTCTGTAGGGGGTTTAAAGCACGGTAGAGTTCCGCCGGATGAGTCGCAACTTCAAAGTTGGTGTCAATCCTTCTCACCACTGGTGAGTGTTCGGTCATCCGCGCCTGAAGTAAACTCGCAAATGCTCCGGTATAGCTGCTCTGCTCTAAGCTGCACCAGATTCAGGAAAGGACTTCAGGTGTTTTCCGTCGTCACGACGGGTCTTCCGGTCCCGTTACTTGGCGCCCGATGGTTGTCTCCGGTCGGTGTGAAATCCCAGCCCCAAAGTGACGCAAGAGGGCGACTGACAGCTTCTAAGACAATGTTGATGCATACGAGCGCTCGTCAAGAATTGGGGCAGAAATCTGCAAACATGGCGGCCTATGACTCATGGACAGGCTTGCTTTACTGCTTTAGAAGACATGGAGAGAAGGAAAAAGAATATACTATACGGAAAGACCTTAGAAACCTGGAAATATCCTTTCCGTCAGTACAAAAGTTAAAAATGACGTGATTGGTCACGAAAAGAGTGAGTTACAAATATTTTTGGTTATAGGAAGAATGGTGTTACCGACAAAGACAAGGCAGACTGTAATGGCCATTTCTGGCTCATTAGCCGTCGTCAGTCAGTCACACCCAACCCCGAAGTGTGCAAAACTTGGGGTTCGATTCCGCGACCTGTTGGTCAGAAACCCAACGCCTCTAACTACTGAGCCACGGACTCGTTGTCCCGTCAGTTGCAATCGGGAATATACAATGGTAGAAGGGCGGTCACTCATCCCGTTGTGCCTTAGGGCTCTCTCTCGGGCCCAATCAGCAGCCGCACAGCGGTGCATGATATAATCAGAATGGTATTACTGACAAAGACAAGGCAGACTGGCATGACCATTTCTGGCTGACGACGACTACTAAGCTAAGAATGGCCATTCCAGTCTCCCTTGTTTTTGTCGGTAATGCCATTCTGCCTAATATCATGCGCCGCTGTGCGGCTGCTGGTTGGGCTCGGGAGAGAAAGAGCGTCCTAAGGCATAAAAGGACGAGTGAGTTCCGTAAAAATGATCGGTGAGCGTCCCTCTGCCATTTTGGTTATGTTTTACAGAGAATATATTTGACTTCATAAGAATGTCGAAAGTCAATAGAAAACCACTTGTTTTTGCAGGTAGTCTGAGAGCAGACTATTCATAAACCGGCATCCTCTAATGGTTGAAATATCTTGGGATAATGTAGCATGACAGTCAATATTACCACACCGCTGAAGTAAACAAATCTTAATAGAAAACGCATTGCCCTCAATCACTAGCTAACTGCTACTGACTCAAAGACGATGGCGTCTAAGGGGTAGTATATCATGCAAATGAGGTCATGAGACTGACTGAGTACTAAAAAGCCAAGACGTCGTCAGGGGCGGTCCCCCTCTGGTGGGATTGAGTCAACATTGGAGTGGTTGGTACAGCTGGTGGCGCTCCCCTCTGTCCACACCGGGACTAAACCGCCCTGAAAGTGCACGTCTCAAAAGACTAGAAAGAATCAAATGCATAAAAATGGCAAAACGTACTCCTTGTAGACTGTTTGCTCCGTCCCATCAGGAAAGGTTGTTTGGACGGTGCCCTCCGATGCATACGTGTATATCTGAAAAAAATCAAAAAGCAGATTCCGTAAGATAACTTTTTAGATAACACATCTATTTTTGCGGAAAACAACTGCCGTGCATGCTCCTGAAACTCATTCGTGACGCAGAGGGAGGATAAACAGGCATCCCAAGTGGGCCATACCTGATCCCATCTCCCTCCGCCTACCCCTGGCATAGGAATCCAGTTAAGAGCAGTGGTGCCATGCACCGCAAACTCCGTCTGCAGAAAAATTAGACAACGCGGCTTACCACGGATCCATCTGACAGGGTGAGCTTTGTATCGCCGTTAAAGAGGACAACCAGCGATGTCTTGCCGTCCGGGTAGATCTCTTTGACCGAACCGTTGGCGTAGTTCAGAATGACACCCCCGTTGCTGTACTGACGTTCAATCTGCGGTGGGAGGGGAACGAAGGCGAGTCGAAAGGAAGCCGAGAAAGAAACACAGAAGTGCGGGGGAGGGAGGGAAGTAAAAGCCAGAGCACCTACCGAACCATCGGGATGACGGATTTCTCGAGTCAGCTGTCCACGGTTTGCCTCTCGCATTGGTGAATCCACAAGCGCCAGGCGGGAAAGACGACCGGGAAGGGAGAAGTCCCTAAGTCCACCAGCGACTAAAGGTGCGCTACAAAGGCAAAGGTTGAAGTGAGTGGTGAGGGGAAAGAGAGAGAGAGAGAGAGAGCAGGGCTACCAGCTTTCAACAACACAGAGAGAAGGACGAATAAATCAGGAGGTAAAGGATAGGAAAAGCAAGGTGGAGAAAACGACCCAATCACATTAGGGAAAATCTAAGGTTGACAACATCGGTATCCTGAAGGCAGCGTAGTGTCAACTTCAAAACTTCACGTACGTTTACTTCATTTTGGCTCAACTGTGAAGAACTCGGCGACGCGGATGGGATGCGAAACCACGACAGCAAGGGGAAGGCTTGAGTACAGTTAACGCTCTAGTCACATGAGCTACAAGGTCCCACCTGCAGGCGTTAGTTTAATCGCATTTGGGTTAACTTACTCGCCCAGGCTATAGCCTGATAAAGTCTGATAAGAGTAAACTGGCTGCCCAGAGGACGATTTCCTAATCAATAAATCTATAACCCATTAGAGGACCACCAGGCTGGCTTAATTAATAGGTGCTTTTGGCAGAACGATAATCATAAACTAGAATGCCCAGTCCCTACCTGCTGTGGTTGATTCGGATATTGATTAAGAAACAAGGTATCAATGGTGGGTAAAATCGAAGTCGTGTAACTTAGCTGTATTCAAGCCCACCCCTTGTTGTCATGAGTTCGAATCCCGCCGAGACCGCTGAGTCTTTCGTAGTTGAGTCAAAATAAATTATTCAAAATATTCCAAAACACCTATTGCATGGCTATAGCTGCTGTAGTAATGGCTCCATTAAGATTAACGGAGGTTGTGGACGCACTAGCAGTGTGGTGGTGGTGGTGGTGGTGGTGGTGGTGGTGGTGGTGGTGGTGGTGGTGGTGGTGGTGGTGGTGGTGGTGGTGGTGGTGAAGGCCGTCGTCGTCTTACATGGATGTGCTCTGGTTGATTCGGATATTGAATAATGCAAGAAACAAGGGATAAATGATGGGTAAAATCGAAGTCGTGTAACTTGGTTGTACTCAAGAAGGGGTTCCAAGAGTAAGCGTAAAACGTAAGAAATTCTCCAGGGGATGTTCCGCTGGGGTTCTGACTATGGACACAAGAAGACAGGTAGATACTGCAGGCCTTCCAGTTCTTTGTCCGTTGAAATTAGTCCTCGCCCTATTCAGTACTGTGTAACGTAAAGAGACTGGGACAAGTACGTAAAGATGGTGCTTTAACCTGACGAAAATTGTCCATAATTATGATCACTGTGTTGAATGCGATCGGGATGTCGTGACTCAAGGTGCAAGTGCCCTCCTTTTCGCTTCGTCTTAAACACGATGGGGGAGTAGAGCATGGGAGTAAAAGCAATTTCGCGATGAGTGTCCATTCCAAGAAAAAGGTACCTGTCAGTGTGTTCTTCTCTCCGGTTGCTCCTGCCGCTGCTACCGTTTGACGATGCGGCATCGTCTGTGTAGTAGTCGCTGGCGATGCTGTCTGCCCGAGGTTCACCCTGTAGGCGAACGACTGACCCATCGACAGTCGTCGAGGCTCTACTGTCCACAGAGGATGAGGTGTCTCCAACCTCACCCGCGCTCGAGGGCAGAGCGGTTGCGGCGACCGTCGGTCGTGGCGCCTCAGTGGGAAGGACAAATGGCAGATCGCAGTAGCTGGGGGCAGCTGAAAGAGTGGTCCGCGCGGCTCCCAGGGTTTCCCTCGTCACGGGCGGTGTGGAGTTGCGCGAAACCGCGGCGGAGTGGGTACAAAGACGGTCAGCAGAGCGAGCGTGCGGCTCAAACTTGACGGCTTGCGTAGCTTCTGTCAGTGACTTGGGTTTGTTTGCCTAAAGGACGGCAGGAAGAGATGACGGTGAGTCGACGGTGCAGGTACGACATGAGAGCACACTTAAAGGTTATGGATATTGATTAATTTAGGAAACAAGGTATCAAGAGGGAGTAAAATCGAAGTCGTGTAAGGTGGCCGACGATGGCAACCCGGTCAAGCATGGTCGTTGAGACGGGTGATTGCTGCCGAAGGTGTGACCGGTTTCGGTCTTTAGAAAATATCAGGTAAAACGCAATAGAGAAGTTACCAAAATAACATGAAAACTTAGCATGAATACCACTTTCAGGTAGAAAGTGGAACGCTGACAACATCTGAGGTGGAGGAAAAGAGGCGGGAGAAGGCGCCGACGAGAGGAGTCAAGTTCTAGCAGACTGCTGAAACGAGACACGAGCGCATGTCGAGTCAGATGACGCACGGTCTGCGCGACTGTTACAGTGTCCAGCTTAACTTTGGACGAGTCTGCAGCCGACTACTGCCTGCAGTGGAAAGCGCTAATTCCAAACGCGTCTAAACCGCAGCATGGAGCCCGCTAAATTGGGCATAACAAACGTCGTTATATGCAGAAGCAAATACGGTAGCACTCTGTTTTCCTTTTTGAGGCTCATACAGTGGTTTAAAGAAGTCAGCTGGACGGAAGACCGGGATCCAGCGTGCAGGAATCCTGCATTGAAAGCAGACGGTCTGGAAAGGATACCATGAGTCTAGACGGATTGCCGAATGGAATGAGACGTCCTTTTTGCCTTGAAGATCTCGTCTTCAACCCTTGCAGGTGGTCGTGTAGAGGCGATCGCTTGGATACTTAGTCAGAGGCTGTATCATTTAAACTACGGGCATAGGCCTTGTTGACTCCAACCGGGAATAATAAGTCAAGTAGAAGTTGCTTTTTTTTAACTGAATTGGTCGGCTGATCCCGAGTTCAATCCTCGGTTTTCCCGTTCTGGGGTCGGCCATGGCTGGCCAACAATCGTAAACAGGCTAAGAACGGCAATTTTGGCCTCCATAATGTTTGTCGGTAACATTTCTTAGTAAATACATCCCATATGGCGACATTAAATCTACCGGCTACTGAAGCAAAATCCGGTCACTTCACTAGAGGACTCCGATTGAAAGCGCAAAGCCTGGCAAATGTTTGTTCGATTAGTTGGTTTTTCACAGACACAGCCAATAGACAAGGGCTTTTCAACGTAAGACAACAGCCTCAGGCAACAGCAAAACAATATGCAGATAATGAGAGACCACTTACTACAGAGAACACCCCATGGCCATCGTTCTCCCTCACGCCCTGGGAGCTACGACTGAGATGTCGCTGTGCCCTCTCCTCCGACAGACTGGTTTGTAGAGTCAGCCTGGTTTGTTCAAGCCGTTTAATGCGCTCCAGCAGTTCGGTCTTCTCATTCGCCATCTCCTCTATACGCGTCCGTTGTCGGGTTAGCTGACTTTGTAGGCGTGTTTCTCGCAGTGCTGCCTCCGCTTGTAGCTCAGAAATCTGTACAAGATAATGGCAGAACTTACTGGTGCGTGCGCACAGGTGCAACATCAACAAAAAGTGAATAGGCCAGGTTCGGCCATTTGCCCATCGCAACAGATTAGGACCAACACAGTCCGGGAAGAGACGTATTAACCTGTGTCTGTGTGGGGCTGATAATAGTGACATCAAGCTCACATCTCAATCCGAATTTCAGCCTGGAGGAGAACCAAGTTATGCCATTAATCGGGGACCTTCTGAGGCACTACTTTCAGCTTGCCACACACGCCCAGTCAGTCCCAGTCGGACAAGTTGGAGTCAAGAAGACTGAATAAAACAATGCGCGTGGCGGCTGACATGGCACGAAGCCTCTGTCGTACGCATGCTACGCGCTTGCACGGTACGAGTTTACGTCAGAGGTAAAGGTGCCCTTTGTCTGGAAGATCCCGGCCAGTCGCACGCTCACAAGCTTTGGATGAAGGCAGGTCGGAGGCTGAAGGCTCATGCATAGTGTTAACCACTTGGGCAGTAGGAGAGTTCTTGTAGCTGTCTGTCACAGACGAGTCGTGCTAGTGAGCTGCTGAAAGCTAAATGAAAAAAAACTCGCGCTGTGTTTAATCATTCGGTCAGATGTGGTTAGGTAGCCCCACCTGAAATAAACAAATCCCAGCTACCTGTAGTGCGGGACCGGTGGTAAAAGGGCTTCTTACAAGTGGGGCCAATGACGAGGTCAAGTACTTCCATGCAAAAGAAAAGCTACTGGAGATTCGCTGCTGTACTTTCGGTGGTTGAGAAATAGTTGCCCAAACCCCAACCCCAACAGTATTGTGTCCGTCAGGTGGGGCTACATAACCACACCTTACCAATCATTCTTCGAATTACACTTAGAGATCGTGAAGACTTGTTTGTCTACCAAAGTTTGGGTTACATATACAACTGGTCGTTGGCGGGTTCCAGCGTAGTCTGGATTGGAAAAACGGGACGACTGACCCTCTTACATGTGCCAAACAACCGTCACCGAGGTGGGCGGTGGCCGCACTAAAAACGTTAATATACAAGCAGAGGCCATATTCTGAAGTTACTGTAAACAGGTGATCTAACGGCGAGGACGCGCCCACACACCGTCACAAGACTTTCGAAATATTCTTTGAAGACAGCTGAGAAGCAACCTGTACCCCACATGTAAAGGCATCCCTGAAGTAACTCTGAAGACCCGATTCCATTAGTACCGATCAAGAGCCCCACAAAAGAAACGACCCCCCAACCAAAACTTCATCGTAGATGAATGGCGACCTCAAATCGCTGTCCTTGGAAGAAGGATTATATCAGAATTTCGGGGAATACCGTCGGGCAAACATGTCTCTTGGAGACGAAATCTTCAACAAAACTGATTTGCAGCAATGGAAGTATGCATAAACAACAGTAACTTGCCTGCTGTTTTAGCCGTTCAATTTCCTCGCGATCGCGTTTATTTGGCATTGACTGGAGGGTACGATGATAGTCGGCAAGAACTTTCTTCTCTTTTCTGAAGTACAAAACAAGTAGTGATTCAGGCGAAGTAACAGAACAAACAAAAGACTGAACCATTCAAATGTCACTTAACGAAAGTATGCTCGTTAACGTCGGAACGCCGGCACCATTCTCCACTAGGACCCCATCTCTGGCTTTAGCTGTTCATAATCGAGATGAAACTATGGGATACTACTCGAAGCATCTATCGGTAGTAGGGTCTCCTTAATAGATTCAGGTGGCAGTTCGCCTATTTACAGTCTGCTATATAAATTTAGAAGTTTGGAGTTTGGCTAGGTGCGACTGGGTAACCTACTTGAACAGTACTGCTGGAACAATTCACATCGGGGTTTAGTAGCAAGTGCAGTAAGTGGGCTAATTCATGAAATGTCAAGCAAAATTCACAAATGCGTCTCCGTTTCGAAGAGATTAATTAAGTAGGGTTTTAAAACTAATTAGCTTGCAGTGTAATGTCATAATAATTCAGTTACCCCAGGATGCCGGCTTCCGAACGAACTTCTTTCCGGCCGCATGCATAAACTATACTCTAGAAAAAAATGACTACTTATGTAGCATGAATTTCTATCACTGATTTTCGATGCCCTTGAACATCCAATTAAATTCCTTGAAAAACATGCACAAGGATATTCATTCTTCTGCTTATCCGGTAGAAAACTACGTCTTCTTTCAATTTTATACTCAAAGAAAGGGTATGATTCGGTTTAAAGGAGTTTCTAATTGTGAGATTTTTTTAATACCATGAAATGGCTCTTCATAAATCGTCATGCCTCTGCATTTACCAATGTGGCTTGTAAATTTAACAGTATGGCTCAAATCCACTGCAAAACTTTATGAACCCCATATGGTCTCCTCTTATTACCGTAGAGAAATGTATGGCTTTCCGTACGCGGAAAATATACGGCTTGTAGTTTGGAAACCCTGAATGCAAGTGTGACGGCAGAGCGGGTTCAAAATTATTCGGGAATTAGAAAAGTATTTGGAAATCGAATGTTACCCTTCCTTCGAGTGTAAAACTGGAAGAAGACGCAAGTTTCTACCAAATGAGTAAAAGAGTGGATATTTTTATGTATGATATCAATGAAACATAATTGAATATTTAAGGACATCAAAACTCAATGAGAAAAATGCATGCTGCTTAAGCAGTAATATTTTTACAGAGTATGGTCTTTACATGCAGCCGAAAAGAAGCTCCTTCGAAAGGTGACATCTTGCGGTTACTGATTTATTATAGAATTATGCCGCATGATGATTCGTTTTACAGCCCTAGTTAATTAATCTTTTCGAAATGAAAACTCAGTTCTGGAGCTCGGTTGACATTTCATGAGTTAGCCCACCCACTGTAGCACTCTTCGTCTGCCAAACACCAAGTCTAGAGCGTTGGGACTTGAGTTTAAGAACATCAGAGGTGGTGAGTGGCAGCAGCATTCGCTCCCCAGGTCGTAGCAGGAACGTGGAGGAAAACATACGACCGAAAGAAGACATCGATTTGCTCAGTACATGCAGTCACCTTAACAGTTCGACACAATGAACACATGGTGGAGAGTGCTGGGTGTGAGTAAGAAGCACGTTGATTGGCACACGGACTGGAAGCAGCACATAAGGCCTTGACGACGCTACGGACGCTCTCGATGGCGTTGCCATGACTGCTTCAGATGCAGTCGTAAGCGCATGCATAAAATGCCGGCCGGTTTGTCACCTGTCATTGCCAAGGCGTCTGTACGTCTTGCGGCAGTTTGGCAAAGCCATCCCAATGGATATTTATATACTTGTGCGGTCAGCTGTGGTTATGTAGCCCCGGATGAAGTAAACAGACCCCAACTACCTGTAATACGGGACCGATAGTAATAGGTGATTTTACAGGTGGGGCCGGGGTACGCACGGGCAACGAGGCCAAGTAATTATATGCAAAAGAAAAGCTATTAGAAATGCGCGACTTTACTCTGAGTGGCTGAGAAATAGTTGCCCTAACCCTAACCCCAATCCCAACAGTATTGTGTCCATCAGGTGGGGCTACATAACCACATCTAACCACTTGTGCCTATCCGCCCGCAAACTGCGAATATTACGTGGTTATTGAGTTGGGGTTGGTTGAATTCGATGCAAGCAGTCGCATAAACTTCCGAACAAGACTTAAAAAGGCATGTCCCGAAGACTTGACTCCAAGTTCACGATAGTCAGCCACTCTGCGGCGTGCGATGAGCGTGGGAGCCAATAATCTTGGCCGGCATGCAGGCGCATAGCAACGGCATACTGCAACACCTGGCCCGTCACGCTGTGATGCACTCAGGAGCTGTCAACTGTGACAGGCATGTAGCGGTCCAGCACCTACATCCTATATATACATCCCATAAATATTGCAACACCTGGGCAATCCACTACCCTTATCTGACTCTGTCTCTGATGATGGATTCGAGTGAGAATCCGAAACGTCAGGCTAATAAAGCACTTGGCCCAGCGATCGCCTTTCCACAGCCCGAACACACAACACCTATCCTCACCTCCGGCACCCATCACAACATGATGCACATCTCTTCCTCGCAAGGTCGACTGCTTATTTCTCTGTCTGCGTCCTCATCCAGCAGTGTGACAGTCCCACCTCTCACAATTCACTTCGTCTGGCGATGGGTTGATCGAACCAGCTCGAAAATTTACGAGTAAAACTCTTTTTTTCGACGGACTTCCTCGTTCCATCATATCAGCTCGGAATGCACACTACTTCATGTATTATATATATATAAAGCTAATAATTACAGACATTATTAAGTGCAGGACATGGAGTTTAGTGGTCGGGACTTAACTTTTTGGGGTCAGACCCGAAGTTTCAATGAACGTTTGGGTCGAAGACAATCAACTCCTGTGGAATAACTCCGTTATGTCAATCCCACGAACAAGTAGTACTAACAGTAGTAAAATTTTATATGACATATGATCCTACCGTACTGCCGAAAAAGGCAGTGTCTAAAGGACCAGACACCTGTTTCGCTAATGTTCTGCCGATGCGCGATTGTAGTCGACTAAAACAACGCAGAACTCTGCTGAAGTTGTCCGCCTGCAAGGTGAGTTCGTAAGGTCATATATGATGGGGGTAGCTGGACATGCCGGTTGATCAAACGGGCTTCTGAGAGCCACACCTCTTGCACTTGTCTCACCGCGTGCTTGTCACCTTGGTCAACTATTTCAACGGACACGGTCGAACTCGTAAGCCAAACAGGTCGATATCCGCATTTCGGGGACGACAGAGGTGAGTTGGTTCTCGGAGTACTCGATGTTGTCTCGCTTAGTAAAATATTAAGGCCTATTTGACATACCAAACTCAAAATTTTCGCCGGCACGTCTACAAAACTTTCGTTTCAGGGCCTTCGGACAGGACTGCATCAATAAGCCCGGAAATCGGCGAACTATTGGCGTGCTCCGATGTGGCCCAATTGAAAGCAAGGGTTCTGAAACAGAACTTCAGGAATGCTCCAAGATCCCGAGCGATAGGCTAGACGTCGGTGTCATCCTAACGTTCACGCTGTCAGTCGTTTATTGTCTGGACCACGAGCGTCCGAAACACACGGTTACTGCATCCTATAAATACTGCAGCCCCTTATGCATGAACAACCCGTATTTGCCGTGTCTCTGATGATGGGTTCGAGCAGAAATCCGAAACGTCAGATTAATAACGCTCTTGTCCCAGCGATCGTGTCTCCTTCTTCAAGACTGCTTCCTGGGACTCGTCTCTTCGCTTCTATTGGCTTCTCTAGAGAATAATCAAGTAAATAACTTCAGAAATTACTCAGTGAAGGACTTGGAGTTAAATCCTCGAAGTCATGTCCCTATCGGGCGCCGTGAGACGTCGCTTTTGTAGGGAGCCAAAGACCTTTGCGATAGCCGGTTCGGTTTTTTTCTCAACTTCTATTTTTAGGTCATCAGCATTGAAAAGGCCTTATCTATTTGGAATCTGCGCGGCATGGCCGCATGAGTTTAAGCCTTAGGTCACAGGCGTTTGGCCAGAAATGGCTGGCTAGTCGGCCTTGTTTCGACTTGACTACTTAGGTAGTATGAACTTCGGCCGCTTACCCAAATTGCACTTTCGTAATCTCCTACTACTTGCGTAGTAGGAAATTTTCTCACTGATTTGTGATGTCCTACTAAACTCAAATATATTTTATAAAAGCATGCCCAAAATATCCTTTTATGCACTCTTTTGGCAGCAAAATAAGTCTTCTTCAAATTTTGTACTCAAGAAGGGTGTACGCAGGTTTGAAAAAACCTTCTCAATCCCCAAATAATTTTGAACCCAACCCTGTGTTTCGGACTTCCAAACTACGTGGTGTATACTTTCAGTGCAAGAAAAGTCATTCATTTCTTTACGCTACTATGATGTCGTATGGGACTCAAAAATTTTGCCAATGAGACATATCTGGTTGTATACTTCATAAGTAGCATTAAAAAACGGACAGATACGATTCTCTATGAATGAACATTTGACGGTCTTAAAAAAACTTACAATCACAGACTTTTGAAACTGAAGGGCACCCTTCTTCAGGCATAAAAGTTAAAGAAGTAATTTACTACCAAATGAGCCCAAGAAAGAATATTTTGTGCAATTTTTCCTGTAAAATATATTTTAGTTTATGAGGGCATCGAAAATCAATGTGAAAAATGCATATTACTTAAGCAGCCATCTTCAACCGAGTGTGGTTTTTGCAGGCGCCTGAAAGAAGCTCATTCAAGAGCCCACATCCTGTTGTGGTTAAAACATCTTGAGGTTATGCTCTATGATAATCAGCATTACAAGCTCACCTAAGTAATCCTCCCTGATCTAAAACACATTTCAGAATTCCGACTAACATTTAATGACGCAGGCCAGATACCGCATGCTTACTGCTGAGCGAATACCTGGCTATTTCAGTCATCGCTGGCGATCTAGTCAAGAGGTAGGCTGCGGAGGTAAAAATGTGTACAGGAGGAGACATTGGGAGCTCCACAACCCCCACAAAAGGTGTGCAACCAGATGGGGGCAAAAAAGGGCAAGAATGTCATTTGCAGCAAAAGCACTACTCACTTCAATCTTGCCGTTTCCTCCTTACGGAAGCCCTCAAAATCTCTCGTCTGTTCGGCCTTCATTGCCTCGAACTCACGACGTTCCTTTTCGAGTTGTCGCAGACTCTGAAAATATTTCAAAAAAGTCCGCATCACGAAGAGGTAAGTCAAATTACTCAAGCTTCATGACATATATACATCAACGGTGACAGCCAGCGCGCGGCGTACAACCTACCGGCAGTCAGTTAATCCCCTGGGGGAGAGACGATTCAAGATAAATGATCGTAAGAACTAGAGGTTTGGTGCAACCAGTGGTCCACAACATACAGTGGCCGTTTTTACAAGCCTTCTGTGGATGTGGTGTTATGCAGAGTGCACGCACGCCCCGACAAACAACCTAACTCCTATCGAGCAAAGTTTACAATCAAGGAGGTTTTGTTCATGTTCACCCAGCTCAATGCTTGGGTTCCTACAACGGTGCCGGCAACTTCAGCCGCCAAGTTCCCGGAGCGGGCAAGCAGTTGATAATGCCTCGTGTCGCGGCCTATATAACAGCAAATGCCGGCTGCCAGGCCACGGATTAAAGCCCCCACAAGTATACATTGGGTGATCTACTTAGGGACTTCACAGGGTTGTAAACGAACCTGTTGAAAAAAAAACTATAAGATGGTATGCGGTTAATGAAGACTTGGTACGACAAGACACGTAGCATAAAAGCATTGGGATAAGTCAACCCAAAGAAGGCCCCCACAGATCACTGGTAACGCGTGCGATTCAGTTGCAAAAAAACTTTACTAGTCTTCTGGATGCACTACCTAGAAGATGAATATCAGAATTTTTTAATTAGGGTTATCCAGCGGCCTTAACGGAATTTTCTTCCAGATTGGGAAGTCATGTGGGCACATACATTGCAGATTTGGAGCTTCAGTTGTTGAGGTTTAAAGCCTCCTTATCTATTCTGGCAGCTCTAACCTACGAAGTATGAACCATGGTTTCAATTGTCGGAGTTCTGGGCATCCTGAAATATGACTGGATGGTAGTGTGCAACTGTTAGCATGTACACACACGACTAGAGGTGAAGTTTTCCTTTTATGCTTAAGGAAGGAGTATAATTAGGGTTTAAAAAAGTTTTCTAATTGCCGAATAATTTGGAGCCTGATCATTCGTTACATTAGCGCTTAGTGATTTCAGTCTACTACGGCATGCGTTCCGCGCGAAGAAAAATCACATATTTTTCTATGCCTTTATAAAGATACCATAAAGAGTCCATAACATTTTGCAATGGATGCGTACCATGTTGTACATTTCATGAGGAGCAGTGGTAAACGGCCAGGTACGATGCTATGTGAATGGACATTTCGCGGTCTTTAAAATTCTCATAATTATACACTTTTTTAAAACCTAATTATACTCCTTCCTTACGTATAAAATATAAAGAAGACGTGATTCTTTATTGATTGACTATAAGAAAGCATATTTTTATTTATGGTTTCTATAAAATATATTTGAATTTGCAAGACCATCGAAAATCAATGGGAAAAATGCATGCTACTTAAGTAGTCATTTTTTGCCGAGCACGTTTTCTACAGGAGATTGAAAAGAAGTGCATTTAAAAGCCGACATCCTGCCGAGTCGGAAATGTTATGAGTATGCCTTAAGATAATCAGTATTACAACCGCGACCAAGTAATCCTTCCTAGTCGAAAACGCATTTCAGAATTTCAGCCAACTTTTCATGAGATCGGTCACTCACCGTACAGTCAAGTTAGGGCGGGTCAACCCCAGGACCTGACACCAGTGAGGTACCTAAACTCCCCCTCCCCTTCCCAGCCATTTTACGAGATTGAACACGTAGTTTTCAGCAAAACGGAACATATATCCCGTGCTGGATTCCAAGGTAGGTCTAATTAACGTCATTTTTATGTCAACCAGACGTGAAAAGAGGTATGTGGAGGGACGATTTGGCTTCAAAAAACAGTGGAGTGGGTAACTAACATCCTCGCGATCCTTTCGCAATTTCGCCAAGGCAGCGTTCTCCGCGTTGAAACGTTTAACCTCCACCTCGAGTCGTGCTATCCACTGGCGTATAACAGCGGACGATGCGTCCTTTGGCGGTAGCGGTATTTCAGGTGTCTGTAAGGAAAGAAGCATATGCACCTCTTATAAATATGGACTATGCACACGTCTGGGAAACCAACCGTAGTCAGACACCTCGAGAGGCACGAAATGCGAATATACATTGGAATAGTGACTCTTGCAGCAATATGCTTGTCCCCGTTGGAGGAATGTTCAGTCTGTGAGGAGGAGCAGGGCTGTATTCTCGCTTCCTGTGTTTTAGTATAAGAAAACCGGATCGAGCATACTCAGAGAAACGGGCAGTTTTGCGTCTTTCGTTCGGCCCTAATCTTACCCCCATGAGGGTCGAGTACAACGAAACAGAGCCACTTAATAACCCTTACAGCAAGTTATGAAACGTTCGAGTTTTAGTAAGTAAAGCCGACGCAGAGCATTGATGGCCGCTTTTTCGCGGCGTGAGAGGCTGGCAACTAAAGAATTCGATTTGATAAGTTGGACGAGAATGAATACTCGGGGTTCCAGATGTGTTGGCTTGCTCTATGAAATCTACGAGCGAACGACTGTACAAACGACTGGTGCGTACTCGCCTTGAGTTATTTTGCAGAAGACCGCCGAGCGTGACTTGATATATTCCTCCACAGATGACTGTCAAACAAAATATGGGCATACATCCGGTTCTAGGAGAGGGCCGCCTTCGTTTCCTTCTTGCATGAAACAGCGCCGCAACTGAGTAGTAAGTTTTCTGGCGTCCTACTTAGTCACTTGCTTTTTTCAGGCGTACAACATGGCTGAGCCGCTTATGGCACAACTCCTTAAATGACTCAAAATCGTCACATTAATTGATTAGAGGGACAATATTACTGTACTAACTTGTACTTGATACGGCTACGATCATGCCTGATCTAGCCGGCCTCGATGATGTCCCGAACTGTACCTCTCCACGCGTGACGATCCGCGGCAGCACATCTGGACAGCTCAACCTATTCGCTTCGCCAACAACGGAGACCGAATACCGTAGGTCCAAGAACCACCTCCATGGCTTACTGAACTGTGTCGAGCCAGGTTTCGAACTGACCCCCTCATCGACGCCTCCAATGGGGCAACGGTGCCGGATCGAGGGCAGTGACACTGAGCTCCTGAGGTGGACGACGAAGAACATGCCCGAACCACTTCAGTCGTCTTTCTTGGATGGCCTGGGTTATCCTCGCGATGTTGTCGCAGCGAGCGCGGACTATCTCATTTGAGACGAAGTCGGTGAACTTCACTCAAAGGATGGTCCTCAAGCAGTGGTGGTCAAATACCTCCAGTTTTCGCCCGTCCTCCGCGCGCAAAGCCCAGCATTCACAACCGTAGAGAAGGACAGACCGGAATAATTGTTGGCCTTTAGTTTTTCCTTCGACAAAGTAGGGCAACTTTTCTGACCAGTGTTGGATCCTTTCCTGGTGATCTGGTTGCGTCCAAGAGTGACGCGACTATGCACTTCATGCAAAGTACCTCGCCATGCGTGACGATCTGTGGCAGCGGATCTGAACAGCTCGTGCGCCATCCTCTTCTCCAACAACAGAGACCGAATAGCATGGGTCCAAGAACTACTTCCCAGGTCTTGACAAACCGCGTCGGGTCAGGTCTTGAGCTGACCTCTTCTTGGCGCCTCCGGGGGAGGCAACAACGCCAGGTTGAGGACAGTGTAACTGAGCTCGTGAGGCGGGCTTCGGAGATCGTACCCAACCCACCTCTGTCATCTTTCTTGGATGGCCTGTGATATCCTGGATATATTACCGCAGCGAGCGCGGACTGCCTCAATTGAGACAAAGTCGGTGTACTTTACTCGAGGAGTGGTCGTCAGGCCGCAGTGCTCAGCCCCCCCCCCTCCCCCCCCCTACAGTATCAGTTCATCCTCCACGCGCAAAGCCCAGCGTTAATCACAGCCGTAGGGGAGGACTGATCCGACAGATACTACCAGGGCACGGGGGGCTGGGGCCTGGTAAGCCGACTGCCTCATGAAATGCCGCAAAGCCCGATGGTGGTACTGTGACATGGCGACCATGAACCGCTGCCTTGTGGTTAGACCCTTGAGCCAACCCTTGATACAATCCGTGTGGCTGTTGGGGACCCGTCTGTACTCAAAATCCCCAAAGAAACCTCATGAAAATGTCCGATTACAGTATTATGATCCACCTAGCAAAAGCATTGAGGCCTGTGACCTTTTTATGGGCAACAACTTTGCCAAACTGCTGTAGATCCACATCGGAAGGCAGTACTGCTGCACACGACTACTTAAACAGCAAAGGGTCCCTCAAATTTTGTGGTATCAGATCTGTATATGTCGACCGTTCCTACCTGCCTTCCCTATCGCTGCCTCTTAGTCTCAGTTCTCACTGATATAGGTGCATGTCTGTCTGATCGGTGTTTCTAACCAAAATAACTCGGCGAGCCAACTGCCGGCTATACTAACGCCCTTCCCGCCTTATGGAAGAAACGCGTCTATACAAGGGAGGAATAGCTGTTGTCGTGAACCCTATGCCTGTTATTTACATACGCAAGCCAAAAATCGGCTTTCTGGTCAGTAATTTGGACCAAACCGGGTGTCAATAGAAGCGAAGAGACGAGTCCCAGGAAGCAGTCGTGAAGAAGGAGACATGATCGCGCTGGGACAAGAGCTTGTGCATGAACCACCCGTATCTGCTTTTGTCTCTGATGATGAGTTCGAGCAGGAATCCGAAACGTCAGGCGAACAAAGCTCTTGTCCCAGCGATCGTGTCCCCTTCTTCAAAATCGGGTGTCCAGGCATCGTGGTCAGATGATTGTTAAAATGCATGAAGACGGCTAACGCCATCCGCATACATGAATTCAATGATCGTAAATAAATAACAACATAAGGCCTAAACTATATCGTAGATATCAGCAGTCTCATCAGCGACCAAGCTTGAGACTGTAAAAGAAGAGCCCCAAAATAACTGCAATATAGCCCGGGAGGTGAGGGACGTTTTGAAAGCACAGCATGCAAGATGACTATCAATGCAGAAAGTTGTCTAAGACTTGTCGTGGCAACTGAAACCCAAATCTTCGGCTGTACGCTCCCTCATCTAATCATAGGACGATGCTTTTTATACTACTACGCGCCCCGTCATGCATATTTCCACTCTTCAATGATACTAACGACACCGATATAAAGCCATTTCTTACAAAATGCGGTTGTACGCGGACGCTATTCGTGGAAACCCCCTTCCAGTACAAAATAGGCCTCTCCTTTATACATGTCCTTCGTGTGAGAAAAATGAATAAACATAAACTAACCAGTTCTTTGTCCTCATCACCGGCTACTTCCGAGAACTTTGTCGGTCCCCCATTCGCCACCGTCACGACCTCGGGCAACTCAAAACGCGCAGATCGTGTTGTGGCCTGCGTTACAGCGCTGGAGTCCACCGTTTCTTGGACCTCCGCTTCTGTCAGAACAAAAGCGCAACAAAAGATCCTCAATTAATAGGCCTAATGTAAAAAAGGCAGGATTTGGTAATCGGTGGAAAGCCTGCATAACGTGACCTCCAAGTCAACGTCACTCTAGGACATTTCAACCAAAGTCAACTGGGGCCGAAGTGATTTACACCCACAGAGCTCTGAGCTTGTATTCATAGTGCGTGATTTATTCGAAAAAGAATGCAGGTCACTGTCGTGGGCAGAGGCATGAACCACAATAATTTCAGTGACTCCCAAAAACTGCATAAACAGGCTCTGAGTTCAGTATACGTTGTTGGCAGTCATAAGAGGTGACAGTGACGCTTTATCTTACCCTGCGGTTCTGGATCCACCTTCCAGGGAAGTTTATCGTCGAAATCAGCCAAACAATCCTCCGAAGAAGTTCTTGTTCTGTGGTCTGATATCTGCTGGCTGACACAAGTTGTGTTATTGCCCCTGGAAACAGCAGCTTGAGAATGGGTGGTTGGTGGTACAGGAAGTCCCTGAGTGGTCTCTGGTGCAGCGACACCCAAGAAACTAGATTTGGAAAAGTGGAAAAGGAAGAGGTCAAAAGGCCGTATAATTTGAAATAACAATCTGTGGTATATCAAAGTGGCCGAGAAAAGGCATTTGTTCCCAGGAACCGGCATTTCCATACTCATAAAATCTTGGGACAACAAATATTGCAGCAGTACTGACTACTGCTCGGGCCTCCAAAAAACCTGGAGTTCAAATCCTTAATTCTAGGATCAGCCCAATGTGAAACAATGAAGCATTGTTCGCGCGTGGAGGATGGGAGGCAGGCAAACTACCATCAACGCTCCCACAACTAGGATGTTAAGGGAAGAATAGTCGTAATCGCTGTACGGCGGGGGTGGACAGGGAGATCGCTAGTTCGTGTATACGAGCATATAGTGGATTCATTGATATTTTGGCAGATTTTGAATAATTCATATTGACCCAACTGTGAAAAACTCGGCGCCTCGGTGGGATTCGAACCCACGCAGTAAGGGGGAAGGCTTTAGTACAGCCAACGCTCTAACCACCTGAGCTACGAGGCCCCGCCGGACGATGCGAGTTTTATCACACTTGGGTCAAGTTACCCGCCCAACCTACTGCAACGTCTGGAATCCACCAAATCTGATACAGTAAGTTGACTGCCCAAGCAGGATTTCCTAAGTAATTCACCTAGAATTCACCAGATGACTACCAGGCTCACGTAATTCATTGATATTTTGGCTGTACTAAAGCCTTCCCCCTTACTGCGTGGGTTCGAATCCCACCGATGCGCCGAGTTTTTCACAGTTGGGTCAATATGAATTATTCAAAATCTGTCAACATATCAATGAATTACGTGAGCCTAGTAGTCATCCGGTGGATTCTAGGTGAATTACTTAGGAAATCCTGCTTGGGCAGTCAACTTACTGTATCAGATTTGGTGGATTCCAGACGTTGCAGTAGGTTGGGCGGGTAACTTGACCCAAGTGTGATAAAACTCGCGTCGTCCGGCGGGGCCTCGTAGCTCAGGTGGTTAGAGCGTTGGCTGTACTAAAGCCTTCCCCCTTACTGCGTGGGTTCGAATCCCACCGAGGCGCCCAGTTTTTCACAGTTGGGTCAATATGAATATAGAGGATTATCACCATTGACAGGTGGGTTGGAGGGGGGAGCAACCGTTGAGCTGCGTCTTTAAAACGCATTGATGTGCCCCGAGGTTTAGGTGGCTGCTAATACAGCTCCCAGAGGAGTGGTAGACTTCAACCATCTAGCGCAAGTGCCTAGTGAGGACCATGCCAATAAATTCAGCAACATCACATTCGAAGTGATGATTGATTTCAAGGGCAAGTCTGACAATGGGACGCAGTGCGCCGTGTCCATAAACGGCATGTTTCTGTTCACAGGAAAAGGTTTACATGCGTCCATGCTTATAGTAGATGTGCTAATTCATGAAATGTTAACCGAAATTCTGAAATGCGTTTTCGGCTCGAAATGTTTACTTAAGTAGGGTTGTAATATTAATCACTGTGCGGCATAATCCGAAGATATTTCGGTTGCTCCAGGATGCCAGCTTTTGAACGAACTTCCTTTTGGCCGTCTGAAAAACCACACTCTATAAAAGTGACTACCTAAGTGCCATGCATTTTTCTCATTGATTTTCGATGCCCTTGTAAATTCGAATGTTTCATAGAAAACATGCATAAAAATATCCATTTTTCTGCCCATTTGGTAGGAAATTACGTCTTCTTCGAATTTTATACTTAAAATAAATGTATAATCGGGTATAGAAAAACTTTTCCGATTCCCGGATAATTCCGAACTTGACCCGCCGTTAAACTTGTATTACGGGCTTTCAAACTACAAGCTGCATATTTTCCGTGTACGAAAATCATATGCTCTTAAGGGGAGATCATATGAAGTTCATAAGAACTAGCAGTGGATCTGAGCCGTATTATACACTTTACAGGCGACATTAGTAAGTTCAGAGACACGATGCTTCATAGACGGGCATTTCACGGTCTTAAAAACTCATATTCAGAAACCTTTTAAAACCGAATTACAACCTTCTGTCAAGTATAAAATCTAGCGAAGACGTAATTTCCTACCACATGAGTGAAAGAATAAATATTTTTTATGCATGTTATCTATGAAATATATTTGAATTTGCAAAGGCGCCAAAAATCAGTGAGTAAAGTCCACGCTGCTAAAGTAGTCACTTTTTCAAAGTGTAGTTTTTGCAGGCGGCCGGAAAGAGGTTCGTCCAAAGGCTGGCATCCCGAAGTAAATGGAATATCTTGGGACTATGCCGCACGGTTATTAATATTGCAACCCTACATAAATAGTCTTTTCGAGTCGAAAACACACTCCGGAATTTCGGTCAACATTCCATGAGTTAGCACATCTACTGTATACAACTCAGGTACTAAGTACATTCGTACAGTAAGCAATTTCCTTAAACCGAATTGTACCATTCGCTCAAGTATAAAATTTGAAGATGGCGTAATTTTATACTAAATGAGTAAAAAATGAATATTTTCATGCAAGTTTCTTATGAAATATATATTTGGATTTATAAGGGCACTGAATTTCGATGAGGACATTTCATGCTACTTAAGTGGTCATTTTTACCGAGTGTAATTTTTTGCAGGTGGCCGAAAAGAAGTCCGACCGAAAGTCAGCATCCTGAAATAACTGAATTATTATGGGAGTATGCATCATGATTATTACTATCACAACCCTACTTAAGTAATCTTTTCGAGCGGAAAACGCATTTTAGAATTTCGGCTAACACTTCATGAGTTAGCACATCTACTGTACTTTAAGATTAATGCTCGACCAGGCTACTACTTCTCCTGAAAGGGCCTCGCGCTGTGTCGACCGCCGCACTCATTAAGAAGGCCCACAAGCACAACTCATTTATAGTCATTGCCCCCCAAACCGGCTGCCCAACCACTCCATATTCAGTCTGACGCTCAACAAGGTTGTATTATATTGCCCATGCTGTTTAATGATGTCGTTTGACAGATTCCTGGAAGAGCTCAGTGCGGTTTTGCTGACATAATTTGTACCAAGACGCCGGCTGACTGACCCCAAGAACACTGATGATACTAGCCTACCATCGACACTACAAAAATCGGCATATCATTAACGCTCACTGCCAACAAGAAGGGACAAGTTGCTTGTAAGTGGTTTTCAACCAAAGGCGGACAGTTACAAATGTCTCAGAATCAATTCGCTCCTAAACTAACAGAGCAAGAGGGATATTTTCATTCGAATAATTGTGATTTCTAGGGTTTTGCAGACCCGTGAAGGTGTCCAAAGGTCCACCGTCATATTCTTAGAATGACCGTCGGTTCAGTCAGTCCGCCCGATGCTAGATTCTAAGCTTGAAAGACGAACGTAGTAACAGCTTTTCGAGTGAAGATGACAAATCTCGTCTCCAATGAGGCGTGCATGCCCAGCGCGAAAACATCCGAAGACAGCTCAAGTAAGTCCAGAAGAAGGTCTGGGGTGGCTTAAGCATGCGCTTTGAAGCCCGTCTAATCATCTAAGTGTTGCTGATCTATATTCAACGTCGCTACTTAACCAAAGGAGGCGAAGAGGTCAGCTCAAAATTCGGCTCGACACAGTTCAGCAAGACGCGCAGGTAGTCCTTATGCCATCTGCCTTTGTCCCTGGGGCAGGCAGTGAACTGACTTCTCCAAACCCGCTGGTCCTAATCGACAATCACTATCTCAGGTACCCAATTTCGGTGTTGTGATGCGAGTGCATTTTTTCTCGATCCCTCAATTGAAACACCGGTCGCTTGAATCATGTCTCCAGAAAAACGACTTGTAGAGCGGAAATAAACGCCTATGGTTAATGGCTGTTCGTACAGGAGAGACGGCCCTGAAAAGTGGACTTAAACTCTTACCGAGTTCAAATGTGGGCCGAAAAATAGCATCTCGCTTTGCATGTTCACAGTCTTGAAACCGGTAAGAGTAGGCAAAGATGACTGATGATGAAACTGGGCGGTGGCAGACTCAGCAATGACCTCCGTATGAGCGTGTCATAAGATGTGCTAGTTATTGCTGTCTAACCGAAGCAGCCTCTAGATCCTCGGATATTTCACAAGAATGGAACCTTGAAGCCTGGCTGACGACCCCCAGGGCCATGTTGTATGTCAGTTAGCAATCTTCCTAGTCTTGACTCTAAATGTGTCTTAACATTCTAAATACGTCGTTGATTAATTGAAGCAGGAAAACTGTAAAGGACTGGACCAATCTACTCTCTGCGCGCCCTGGTCTAACAATGATAATATGTCAAGGCGGCTAGACAACAGGACAGTTTAGCACTGTGGTGTACCAAGTATAGTTTCAGTTTGCGCGTCATCACTGTCTGTGGCCACTCTTCCGCAAACGAAAGAGGTTTCATATGAACAAGTTCACCGTGACGGAATAAATGCCCTAAGGCACGAGTGCAGCACATGTTGGAGGTCATCCAATCCCCGTAGCCAGGTGTGGTTTCGTAAGAGGGTTCTTTCAGAGCTCGAAGCAGACACTTTTCACATACACTTATCTTCTCTCACCCCAGTTGTAATGTTTGAGTCGATAAACAAAAGCAACCTTTAGTTGTCCTAAGGCGATGGTATGCACTAGGAAGTCATTAAATTCGTAATATTCCGCTGTGAAATTACAAAGAGAGAGTTTTGCGTCTACGAGACTATCACTAATGTTCAGATTTTGCGTTATCGCCCTTCTCCGACTATATGTGCAAGATTTACTTAGCTAACGCTGTCAAGCGAAATTCCAGACGCACAATGTGACTAACAAGGTGTCACATTATGGTAAAACCTGTAAATTTCGAACTTCGCATGGCTTTAAGACATCCTTCCGAACGACGGATAATTTACGAAGGCGCGGTCTAACTCCTACTATATAGCTACCGGCGTCCTTTAATCCAAAACGGGGCGAACAGTTGGAAATAGAGGTATAGCTCAAGCACTGGGCGCAGACGTTTGACTTCCCTGTATATGATGGAAAGTGCGACGCTATCAGTGGACCGCCTTACGGTGCTGCCCGCAGGTTGTTTATAATGATACGTACAAAGGAAAAGTACGACACCCAGATGCCCCCCATGTTTTTGTCATTCGTCAGCGCCTACTAAAGAATCCAAATATCGCTATAAGAGAAGACACGGTAGAACGCAGCTACAGCCAAAACTAGATTCTCTTGTTGAAGAAAGATACGCTAGCGCAACCTTACATGAGACCGTTACACACGAAGAAGGGCACTCAGTTCACTGGCATGCAGATGGATAGAGATTCGCTGTTCCAAAGGGTTCAGCAAGGCCCTTCGACGGGCTCACAACTGAATCAGCCGACATGTCCCCCTCAGTTGCTGTCTTGCGTTCAGTTATCACGATGGAAATCGGATAGAAAAGAATCAATGAGATAGCAAAAGACAACAAGGAGAATACGACACCCTGTAAGTACTGCAGCGCAAACTCCCAGACTTAGATCGCTCAGGCAACTTAGGCGACCGACCATTTCCAGATTTCATAAAATGTGAGCTAAAGAATGCGGTGCTGTACTCCTAAGGACGTAAAAGTTGATATACAGAGACACGGCTTACAAACACAAAGTAAGCATAATGGACGTACGCAGATAAAGAAACATTAAGGATGCGCACAATCGGCAAATGCACTTTCAGTCACTCTTGCTCGCAAAAATTGTCCTTTTTGGCTATGTGCCCCCATATAGGCATTGAAACTAGGGTTATTAAACTTAGCATGTGATTCTGTCCCTATATCCACTGTCACATATGAGCGAAGGGTATTTTAAAAAATAATGAGCCTATGACAGTACTCACTCGGTTGTTTCTTCTTTGCAATAAGCATTAGAAACGCCGGCAGTGTCCGGTGGAAATGTGTGAGCGTACGTCGCAGGAGCAGAAATTTTTTCTCCATCGCAGTTTTGCCGGAACTTGTTTAGGAGAGAATCCTTAGACATCTTAGCAACAGCCGAGCTGCTTAGACCGCAAAAGGAGCCCTCCGTTAGTTTCTCTAATAATTCGAACTCTTCTAGCTCATTAGTTTCACTTAAGTCAACAACAGCGGCACACCGCACTGGATCCGTTTTCTCCCTGTCAGGGGAAGGCGCACAGGTGGGGGCTTGAGGTTGTTGTCCATCAGTTTCTGGCGGTGGAAGAGCCATCGAAGGGGATAAAGAGGCCGGAGCTGGATTTGATTCTTCCGAGGGTAAGAAGGTGGGAAATAGTGTGTGTTCGGGTTTTGGACACCATTTAGACACGTAAGTGTACTGTCTTGTTAGTTTCCCAGGTTCCATGAATTTGGACTTTGAAGAGGCGAGTAAGGATGAAGATTGTGACGGTTTAGTTGTGAGCTGTTAGTACGGAGAAATAATAAATATTCAGTGACACCTAATCCTGTAGGCAAAAGTTTATGTGTAATAGTGAATAATTGGATAACTAGGAAGACGAGGTTGGCAACTTGCATCAAAACTCAGGTGACTCAAATTAAAGTTATGAAAAAGAATCGATAAAAATGAGACAAACTCATGCATGAATTAAACAGCAGATCAAAGTTTTTAGAAAGCCGAGAACATCATCTATCAATAATTACAACTTTTGTAAGCAAATATCTACTGTCTTCTGAAAGTCCAACGAGAGTTTACGTGCACTGGTCCTCTTGATTAGAGTCAGTCAGCAAACTATATCGCGTTGGGCGTTCCATGTAAAATTCACTTTGATCTTACGACAAACTCTTCCTGACGGAACAAACTAGAAGGGTGATTGCTTGAAAAAAATCACGTTAAATTTTTCCAAACATATAAGGACACTCGGGTGTAGCAGCTGTCTTGGAGCTGGAAAGAATCCGGCAGATGAATTTCTTGCTAATTATGTTGTCTAAAATGAACTTTTCAAACGGAAAAATGGTTTCTACAAATTACTTTTGTCAGCCAGAACACGCAAGTCTCTCAAACAAACCAAACATGTTGCAAGACGAACGTAAGTCTCACCGTCGGTTCATCAAAGGCACCTCTCAGAGCGTCCCTCGTCGTGCTGGACTTTTCTGTGTCTGTTTCATCAACATGGCTCTCACGTATTTTCGTGGAATATTGTTGAAGCTTGAGCCTGGAACTTCTGATTCGGCTGCACCAGGCAGCTAAACCTTGATTTTTGCGAAGATAAGGTCTTTTGGTCTTTGGTTCTGCCTCCTTCTACAATAAAATAGTGGAAAGGTCATAGAAAGCTTTGGGAGCCGTTAAGAAAAATCAGGTAAACGTATGTGGGAACTGCAGTCATGGGGGTTTCGTCAGTACAGGAATGTGGCTGCCTGAGATTGAGGCTTTTAATACTTCCAGGTGTGCATCCTACTTAAATATGCCGCTACTTGAACTGTTATTGGTACCAAATCCAAGCTGGAAGGCTTGTCTGTAAAAAAGTGTTTTCGTGTCCACAATTTCAAAACAAAACTTGTTATCAGCATAGAACAAGTAGTTACCACAACAGAATGACGTTTAGTCTCCTGAGGTTCCCTGTTTGTAGTACGCGCAGATGATTTGAATGTCCTTTCGTCTACGAGCTGGCGGCAGGTTGCGTTGTTATGAAGATTCGAATCTATTGCGTTTATGTTATCATCAACAGTACTGTCAGAGCACAAGTATTTGTCAAGCAGAAAACTTTTGAGGGTGTCTTCCGGGTCGTATTCCAAATTGACACCCGAACGGGACATGGACGAAGCCTTCATACTATCTAAATCATTCGGCATCGTGTACCAGATAAACACGACAAAACAACCACCCGTTCAATTGGCTGTTTTGATTAGATGTAATTCTAAATTGGTGTATTTAAAGAACAACACGGAGAGGTTTTGTTTATATTCCTGGACTACAAAGGGAGCGTTGTCTGCGTTATCTGTAAAAGAGACACGCTTATATGCCTTTCCGTGAAAAGCTACTTCTGAACTAACCGCCTTGAAGATACTGTTTATCAGGCAAATGCTGGGTTAAAGAAACGGCTTTTTTGTTTCCTTTATGCCACATGCTCAACAAATTCTAAATTGTCCAGTCCTCAGATCTGTGAAACTTCGTATTCGCAAGTGATTTCAAGCGTTGGTCATCGCGTTTCCTGAGTTGCACCGACCCTACTTCCACCTCGGGAGTAAACTCGAATACCGAAAGGACATGGATGCTCCTCAAGAACAGCCTCTCCGATGCCACTACGCTGTTTGCAACTAAGGTTGTATTTGTATGCGAGGGCTGTCAGTGACGAGTTACCTCTAAGGCCGAGTCCCTTGTTGCCAATAAAAACACCTCGAAACATCCCTTTTAAATGCGAAAGTAGTGTCTGCGGGCAGACCTCCGCGTCCTCTGGATGTGGGTGAACGCGAGTAAAAACCTCCGTCCTTCTTTGATGAAGTAGAATTTTCTATGAAATTCGACCACCTAGGAGTGTTTGCGTTATGTCCACGGAGGGCTGCAAGCGTATTTGAGGGAATGTGAAAACTAACAAATTCATAATTCTGTTGAGAATAGTTTAGTTCAGAATTCAACGCTGGCATTTAATATACGAGGTTCCGGGAGCCTGGGATACAGAAAGTTTCCTCTTTTACAAGTAGGACATGTGTTATCTGCCGCTTAATCCCAGGCGAATGATTGTCAAAGTTCAGAAGGTATGTGTTTGGGAAGGAAGCGATCAATAATGACTTTATGCATTCCGGTGTTAGGTGCTTACTCAATTTCGATTTAAATACCGATAATTTAGATGATGGCCCACAGCACGTCACCTAACTGACGGAACTTGAGGACGGACAGAAATATGGAATTTTTGGGCGTCTTATACCTCGCGTACTTTGACTGCTCGTCTTGCCCATTCAACTAAATATCCTTTACTTGTTAAAATTATTCCAAATAAGGGCAAATTTGGACGCAGTAGAGGGGGTGATTAAATGTAGAGCAAGAGGCGACAGAATCACCATGGAGCAATAATGCGTGAAGTACAACTGAGGATATCGATGCTTGGAAGATAAGAGCTAGAAATAATGCGAAACAGGAAGTAAAGGTCAGCTTAAGACTCGTAACCCACGAAAACTTATCGTTGGCCGGCTGACATATCTCAGTATAAGAAATACCGTATGCAGCCTGAGACAAGGGGTTTCGAGTTAAAACTCTTTAAGTTTTCGATTTTGCTACGGTTAAAGACGCTCAACAAGCCGTATCTTCGTTTCTGGGAAAAATCGCGTAATATGATTTCAAATATTTACGCAGATTTAGCAGAAATTCTATCTTAATGACGTGATGAAGCAGGCTTATTTGTATAAATCAGGCTTTATCAATTTATGAGGGAGCATTCTCAAAGTAGGTTTTTCAGAAAAATTTTGTGGCCAGGAAGTCGGCAGAGTCAAAACACGAAATTACACTTGGACAAAGAAAATTCCCTCTACAATGAAGAGCTCCATTTCCACATGCGTGGTAGGTAGGAGTTAACTTTTTCAATGCAAAGATTTGCAGTGTCCTAAGCATATGGGTAAACAAACTGTAGGCTGTCGGCATAAACAAACGTTTGCGAATTCCTGATTTCAATCGAAATATCATTGGTTTAAAGAAGGAAGGGTAATTAAAATTGTATTTAGTATCAGTTTACAGGCATTGCCGAAGAAAGATTAAGCACAGATCGGGCTAACAGTGGAAAAAACTCCCGACGAATGGCGTTTTGTGCAGTTTGAATTGTTTACAAAAAACCGCTGCCCGTCAACTGACGGTAGTCCAGAAAGGGATGGGCAACAAGGCTTCGGATATTTTCAGTCTCCATTCCTTCTTGCAAAATTGGTACTGTACCAAACAGAGGCATTGAAGAACCGCTGCTCGTTGTCAGCTGGCGACACTGTCCAAAGCGAGGAAGACCAGGGGGATCAGAGACCGCGAACTCTATCAATTTGGTAAATTAAATTGGTAGATTGAGCACCTAAAATGTGTGGGAGATTTTCTGAATGCAAAAGACGAGTAACGGTTCTCTTAAATAATAATTTTGCACAGTTTTGCATTCCTGGGTAACTTGTTCCGAGTTGAAATTGCGTTCACAGTAAATAAACGATGATATTTAACGGAAAGGGGATAGAGTACGAAATAAAAAGACCTCACGTAACTATTGCGTCGGGGATGGTCAAAATTTTTTAAAGTTTTAAGCGGGTTAAAAGTGCTATTGACTAAGAGCTTAGGCCGTAAAAGTTGTCCATTTCGTAACCGACGGAACCACAGGTGGCCAAGGCCTGTAAGCTCGCAACGTTCCTGGTAGGTCAAGTATTGGAAGTCCAAGGCTAAATCTCTCTTGGTAAAAAAATTTTGAAAGATTCTATTTTCTTCCGCTCAGCATCACGCATGAGGCTAAATAAAAACGAGCAGTTTTCGAGGCCAGGTCTGACGTACATTTTATAAAGGCGCATCCCAATATCGCCCGTTTTAATATTCCGGAGGATAAACCCGGTCTTTCTACGTGCTTTGGAGACTATCAGGGGCAGTGCTCCGAAGGATTAAGACTCTTGGAGTATGACACACCCAGATCCTTAATACCTTCAGACACACTTATGTCGTGATCGCCAATATTTACTTGGGGTTGCTAGCCATCGCGAACCACCATGATTGAGTACTTACGCTAAAAATGAGAAAAGCGTCATGTGGGGCACCTGTGGACAAAGGTCTGTAGGTAGCTCGTTAGGAGCTCAAGCACGATGTCGCGATCTGCCGGCTGATACCTACATGCAACATTCAGATTATTGGCATACATAAAGGGCTTGCCATTCTGAAATAAATCTGGTACATCTTTAAGAAAAATGAAAAAAAATGGCGGGCCGAGTACACTACCCTGAATGGTTCAACTCCTCACGCATGTGGGGTTGGAGACGACATTGGAAATCTTAACCCGTTGTGTGTGAACGCACAGGTAAGAGGATACCTGCTATCACTCTTCCCCCATAGCGACGATTTTCGCGGTTCTTGATGTCATCCCTCATCTTGACCACAAGCGGTCTGTGGACGCTCACAGCGGAACCCTCTGTATTCGCCGTCTACGTGTTTTTTG